GGAAGTTTCATCTGTCAATTTTACTTCAAAATAAAGTATTTATGCATTAATTTCATCATCCCAAATTTCAATTCTTTGAGTTGACCCGTTCAGAAAATAAAAGGGGGGAGACATTAAAGAAATACACTGTATATTTTTTAAGTGTGATGCTTTTTCTGTAATGTTCTCGTATTGGATTGAATATATAGTTATTTCTATGTAGTTGAGTGAGGTAATTTTATCTCGAAACAAATGTTTGCTCACTTATCGAGTTGGTATCATTTATGCAAAAAAAAATTTGCTATTCACATTCTCTCTCATTGATACATTATTTATTATTTATAGCCTACTCACTGAATATAGGTATGTGAAAATATGATTTGTATCTGTCAAAAAACCGATTAATATTTTATCATTCAAATATACCCACTTACCATATAAACGAAGAGTGCCTTCAGCTCTTCCTAGAGAATTTGTCGAAACGCAGTTGTAAGTTCCGATATCCGAAGGAGAGAAAGATCGTATCTCCAGCCACATGACAACTTTATAGCCACTCCTCTGTTCTCTTATCGTGTATTTCGATCTGGAAAACAAAATTTTAAAATTGATGTTATTTGATGTATGCAAATTCAAATATATAGCGAATGAAATGATATATGCTTCGTCCGAACCCTCTCATAACTGAGCAAATGGATGATTGAATATGATATTCAGGAACATCAACTGGAAAAATTGAAATTATTTATCCTAGCAGAATGTCAACATATGTATAAGAATATTTTCATAGACTAAACGTAAGACTGACTGGGATCATTATAAATGGGAAGAAAAGAAGTAACATTCCCAACCACTTGAAAAATCCTCAAGAAGTTAATTTTTCTATAAATTCTCTACCTGAAACGGATAATTATAGAACCTTTTCAGATTTTTACAGCGATAATCACCTTCGGAATTTAGATTTGAAGCTGTTGATGAGTTGGTTGTTTATAGAATGATAAATTCAATTGAAAGTATTTCTACAAGTAGCCTTGGAATAAACTTGAAAATGATCAAGCTGCGTTGCCCTCAAATTGTTTCCTTCATCACGCATATAATAATTTTTGTTTTTCCAGTAATGCGTTTATATCTGTATGGAGATGTGCGATAGTTACAGTGTTGTCAAAAAAAATCAAATCCAGATAATTTTAAAGATCTACGTGGAATCAGTGTTACCTACGATGTCGAAAATAATTGATTTTTTCAAGGACAAAACACAAGCACTACAGAAAAATCCTTAAGGCGCTATCTTATTGGGTTGACTACACTGAAACTTTTAGCCCAGTAGTTCGTTACGAATCAGTCAGGTATTTGATAGCTCTAGCAGCCAAATTTGATCTGGATATAGAGTAGATGGATGCAGTTACCGTTTTCTTGCAAGGAGACCTTGAAGAAGAAGAAGTATATTTGCAACCACCAGACGAATTTTATCGAGGAAACAAAGTTTATCGCTTGAAAAAAGCCATTTATGGTTTAAAACAGGCAAGTTAGTCTATGGAATGAAAAACTCAGTGCTGCTTTGAAAAATATTGGATTGCAGTAATCAATAAATGACCCATGTATATACTTATCATACTGAGGAGCAGAATATTATGTTGGTAGCAGTATACGTGGATGATTTATTGATATTTTCCAACAACAAAAATGCAACGGAAAATTTAAAGGAAGACTTGAAAAGAAGATTCAAGATGAAAGATTTGGGTGAAGCGAAGACCTGTATTGGACTCAGAATTACTAGAAATCGAGATAAAGGTGAAATATATCTAGACCAGGAAACATACATTGAAACTTTATTGGAAAAGTTCAACATGGCAGATTGCAAACCCGCTCTGACTCCAGCGGACCCAAATCGAATATTATGTCAAGAAATGTCTCCAAAGAATGAAAAAGAAAAAGAAGAAATGACTAAAATACCGTATCAGGAAGTCTATGGTAGTATTTCATATGCTTCACAAGGATCCAGGCCAGACATCACTTATGCTGTTAATACTGTTAGTCAATTCAACAAAAATTACGGCAAGGCTCATTGGACAGCAGGAAAAAGAATTTTGCGATGCCTGAAAGGAATGATGTATGCTAAATTGGTATACACAAAAAATTCTGATTCCAGACTGAAAGGATATTGTGACGCTGACTGGGCAAGCGATGTTGACAATAGACGATCGTGTACTGGATATGTATTTCTGCAACAAGGAGGGCCGATTTCATGGAATTGTAAAAGACAGCATACTGTTGCGTTATCGACAACTGAGGCCGAATATATGGCTTTGTCAGCAGCTACGCAAGAAGCTCTCTGGTTGAAGCAGTTCGAGAAGGAATTTTGGCCAGAACCACTGAAGAAACCATTTTTGATATATTGTGATAACAAGAGTGCAATAAATCTAGCAACCAGCGATGGTTACCGTGCAAGATCTAAGCACATTGATATTCGCCATCATTTTGTCAGACAAAAACTACAAGACGGATATATAGATATAGAGTATATTGGAACGGAAGACATGGCTGCTGATATTTCGACGAAACCCTTATTCAGACGAAAACATGATATATGTTTGGAGAAAATGAATATTGATGTTCAACCGCATATTAGTGGTGGTGTTGGTAATTGAAAATGCAACACACCCTGTATTGTACATCAATCATTTTTTTTCAGTTATTGTTTGACATTTGTATGTTGATGAATGACTGTCAGATACAAGTTCATTATTATATATATAAATTATTGATATGTTCAATGTAACGTTTAGAAGTAACTCAGGCTTATTGTAATTACACTTTTGCACTGTCCTCATTGCATTTCCAACAAAATTACTTCTAGATCCTCAGTAAGATTTGCAAGCTCCTGCTGCCGGTGAAGATGTGCCTCCGTAGAAGATGTCCTGGAATCCAAAAGGAAAAATAATGGAAAAGCAAATTGAAGTACATCTTGATACTCACAGACTCCTTTCCCTCATAGAGTCTTGTTTCAGGAAACGCCACACTACTCCATGTTGTGAATGATATTATGGAAGCTACAGACACCAACAAATGCAATTTGTATGTGTGTTTTGACGACACCCACCTATGTAATAGCTTTTTGTTGATGACTGAATTGAATGAAATAATTTCAGGGTGAATTTTCCATTGAATAATTAACACAAGAGGTCACAGCCCATAGAAATCACTGAGCAATTTCCACGCATAGCCGTGTATGTTTTAGAAAAAAATCATATCTTCAATGAAGAGTTCCAAATTTCACACACAGAAAATAAAGGTTTGAAACTGAATCATTTGGAAGCAATGGAAATTAATGAACTCAAAAATTCAAACAGTCTAATGAATGACCAACTGTATTTGAATAGACCACCATTATTGAACTCGTTTTCTTAGGAAAACCGAGAACGAATTATTATCGATGTAGAAGTGAGACAATATGCTTCAGGTGATCATAATTGAAGCGGTACTTCAGGTAGAGGTTTAGGTGATTTGTTGGAGATAGTCTCAATTATGGTTACCTGTAGTATATAAATATTAGTGTGTGAAGCAACTTGTAGTATACAAATCACCGTGATATATTTTTCAAATAAAGTTTGTGGAGATCAAACCGTGAGGTGTAGTTTATGAAAAAATATCTATAGAAGAGAGACAAATCTCTAATATTTCTTCGATGTTACAGGCTATCAGTCGGATGGCTCTTTTCTGGATGGAATCCAGAGTATGTTTGGGTACAGAGCTCGATACATGAGAACAATACTCCAAAGAATGTCTGATCTGAGCTTTCTAAAGCATCAAAAGTTGCTGAGGTGTGTATGGTTTTCTGGTTCGGAAAAGTGTTATGAGCTTTTGAGAAGCAGCCTTTGCAATACCAGCGACATCACTGTGCCATTTTTACTCCCCACAAACTTATCGAAGCAGAAAACGGAATTGTCTGACCTACCATTATTATAGCCAGTTCGAGAAGATATTCATTTTCTTGGAGAATACCGATACCTGGGTTTTTGTGGAATTGAATCGAACCTGGGTACCTTCACCCAAATTCGAAATCACTTCTAGATCCTCATTAATATATGCAACCTCCTGTTGCTGGTGAAGATGTGCCTCTGTGGCCGATGTCCTGGAATCTAAATGGAATTCAAAGGGAAAAATAATGGAATAGCAAATTGAACCACATCTTGATAATCACTCCTTTCCCTCATACAGTCTGGTTTCAGAAAAGGCCACACTTCTCCATGTTGTGGATGATATTATGGAAGCTACAGACACGACGGTGAAGACACCTATCCACTCGCCTATGTAATAGCTTTTAGTTAATGAATGAATGAATTTTTATTGTTCCACCCCCAGTCAAATCCACATTTAATAGCGATAATACCCACATTTGCATTAATTAACTACGTTGAAGTTTCATTAATCCCCTCTTGAACCTCCCACCTCATAGTTATATCATTCGTTCTGTTGTGAATTTTAAGGAACCTTCGTTTGATGTTGAGTTCAGCTGGTTTTCGGAACGGATATCAGTTCACAAAGCCCGCAAGCAGATATTTCAAGCGAGTGTGTGCTTTGAGTTATGGCAATTTAGCAGATGTATCTTGAAAACCCTTCTCACGTCCCAGAAATTAATCTGTATTCTAGTTGGCCCGAACTTTGGTTTCATGAAAGTTATATGTTTCACTTCATTGTTAGCAAGTTGCTTTTGTTTCCATTATTTGGTTGGGGAGGGGGGAAAATATGGTGCGGCCATGTCAGAAGCATTTCGTATTCATAATATCAAGAAGAAATTCATTATCGACAGAAATGTTTCTTTGAGGACGAAACACAAGCACTAGAGAAAAATCCTTAAGGTGTTCTGGGGGCGGTGTTTGTGAGAAAGTAGCGATTCATGTTGGATTCGAACCGCTGGAGAACGAATTTATTCGAAAAAAGGTTCTCAGGAAGTTTGTTCCACATAAACGTAGTTCTCCAATTGGAAGACTTCTTAAACAATGAAGCAGTCACAGTTCGTCGCGTAGTCCTGATATGTTCCGCTCTTGGTGGAATCGAATGTGTCATACATCGGTGAAACTAAGAGGCCATTGAAAATTTGCATTGCTGAGCACAAGAAACACACACAGCCTGGAGAAACCAGCAAATCCGGAATAGCAGAGCATGTTTGGACTCATCAACATAATATCAAATGGGCTCAAGCTGAAATCATCCACAAAAAGGAACACTGGTTTAGGAGAAAATTCAAGGAAGCCGCGTATATATTGTCCAACAACGCATTTAGTCAAGCTAGCGTAGAGATACGTAACATATGGAAACCTCTTATCAAGCGAAAAACGACCAACTCCAGCCAAACGGTCATCTCCCGCTAAAATCAATGACGCGGAAAGGGGGAAGAGGGGATAGGTGAAAGGTGAAAGCACCTGAATGATCTATAAATAGGCAGATCTCGGAGGAATAAGTCCAGTTATCACCCGAAGACGATTGTGGTCACAAACGATCGAAACGTCATGACGTATCTTGGTTTGGTTTAATTTCAGCTTTTAATAATATTCAAATTTTTTATTTTCTGGTTGCAGCTTGTAT